CCCACCCTCGTGGCTAGGGTGTGGGCCCCCTGGCCTTGATTCTTTGCCAGTATTTTTTATTATTTCCAAAAAATAATCTCCGTGGAGTTTCAGGTCATTCCAAGAACTTTTGTTTCTGCACATAAATAACACCATGGCAATTCTGCTAAAAACAGCGTTGGTCCGGGTTAGTTCCATTCAAATCATGCAAGTTAGAGTTCAAAACAAGGGCAAAAGTGTTTGGAAAAGTAGATACGACGGAGACGTATCAAGAAGTCATCAAGACGTATGTGTGTTGAACGCGGAGGTGCCGTCCGTTCGACACTTGGATCGGGAGTTTGCAGGACGGATCATGATTGGATCGCGAAGACGTTCGACTACATCAAGATCGTTTTCTTAATACTTCCGCTTAGCGGTCTACAATGGTATGTAGATGCAATCTCTCCTCTCATAGATGTTCATCTCCTATATTGATCTTGGTGAGCGTAGAATTTTTTTTGTTTCCCATGCAATGTTACCCAACAGTCGCCACATGTTCTCAAAACCCTAGAGAAAGGCCACAAAATCTTTTTTGTGATGACCATAAAATATTATTACAATATGTTCATATAGCCAGACAAGCCATATCATGCTAAGAACATTTTGAAAAAACTTATAAGTTCAATTTTCAAGATATAATCTTGATTTTTTAACGAAATTGTTTTTTCGTGAGAGAGGCGGTGAGGCAAGGGATATACAACCCTAGCCGCCACCTGTTGCCCACCCATCTCGCCGCCACCACTAGCAAAGCACGCATGACGCCGACAGCAGCCGGGCGGTCCTGGTCTAGGGCGGCATGCTGTGGAGGTATTTGAGGGCTGTTGTGGATGGCAAAGCATATGAGGGATCGAATGGCAGTCTTCGTCAAGCAGGCTCAATGATGGAACGGCGCGAGCCGGAGGATCCAATGTGTGGATCCTCAATGGTGGCCCGACCTTGCTACGCCATCGGAGAAGAAGGCGTTGGTGCATTTGTCCTGGACGGGGTGAGCTTGACCTCATATCCAGATCCGGTGTGCACTTGCGTGGGCAATTTGTTTTAGGTTTTCTTTAGGGAGTCTTCGTGTTTGGTATGGAATGGCGAGGCGGCGGCGGTGCAGTGTAGGAATAATTTCCTTTCCACCCTATCCCCATTTGTGGGTGACGTCGTCGGAGGACGCGTGGAGTTATGTCTCCGAAGGGTCTTTCGAGATCCGGTCGGTTTTGGTTTCCAATGGACCCGTCTAGATTCGGCCGGTATCTACATGCTCCTATCGGCGTCTACTCCTTCGGAGAGTCACCGGTATCTCCTACGACTTCGTGGCTATTGTTCTACAAGCTCTTGGATTTAAAAAAAGCTTCCTTCACTAAGGTGAAGGCCCAGAAGCGGTGTCGTGTATACTCACGCTGACGCTAGTGGATGCGGGAGAAAGAAGACTTCACCCCTGCCCCCCGCAAGATTTTAAATATAATTTTTTGTAAGGGTGTATTTGTAAGGATTTGTGATGCATAATAAATGGCCTTAGGCCTTCCCTGAAAAAAATGTTAAAATATATATTTTTTGTGAGAAAAAAATTAATCTATTCATCATGTCATAGCAATACAAAGAAAACATAAATAATACAAATTAAATTCATGTCCGTAGACCACCCAGCGACGACTACAAGTACTGGAGCGAGCTGAAGGCGCGTCGCTATCATCACCCCTCTCTCACCGGAGACGGACCAAACTTTTTATAGTATACATTTAGGAAGTCATCGTGCTAAGACCGCACATGACTAGCACACCAGAACATCAACTGTCGCCAATGAAGAAAAATATAGATCGAAATGATCCAACCTGTACACACACGAACAAAGACTGATCCAAGCGGATCCACCAAAGACCAACACCGACTGAATCCCGCGAGATCCGCCAGAGACACACCTCTACACGCCCTATGACGACGCTAGACCCAACACCGAAACCGAAGGAGGGAGGGGGTAGGCAGGGAGAACCTTATTCTATCTCCAGGGAGCCGAGACCGCCTCGTCCTGAGTAGAATACAAACCCCGCAAAACCTTACAAAACCACCAAAAAAAACGAAGCAAAAACCCTCCCATCAGCAAGAGTTGGGGTTCACCGCGCCTCCATGACATAAGGCCATCGAAGATAAGGCGGACCGGCGGGAGGCGGAGAAACCTTGAGTTCTTTCTCGAAATGGGAGATGGCGCTGCGTCTAATCCGTGCTTCGGTGCTTGGGACCATACACCCATATTTTTTAATATATTAATGTAATATTATCTTGGTTATGTCGATATCTCAAACAAACCGTCAAGAAAAATGAGGAAAATACCCCGCGTACAGTTACTCCAGCAAAGGCAAAACAGCCAAATTTGATCACGATTTCGTTAACTTGATCACGAGGCGCAGACCGGCGCGCAGAAACGCCGGGAACTCCCCAGGGCGGCGGCTATCCACTCCACTCCACCCCCCAACAGAAATATTCCCCGCATATCCTCCCGGGATCCCGGATCGCCTCGTCCACCGCTCGCGCCCATCCCCCAACGGCCCAGGAAACCAGCCCACCGCACCCCCACGCGCCGCGCCGCGCCATGCCACCGTCCTGCGTCAGCCCACTCGCATCGGATCGCCATTTAAACGCTCACCTCTCCGCTCCGAGCTCTGCAGTTAGGAGCGCACACACACAACACACATCATGGTGGGTACCGTTGCCAAGAACGTGACGACCGAGCCGGAGCAGCTGCTGGAGCGCAGCCGGGCGATCACCGTGCAGGGCGGCGACAAACGGGGCCGCGCCGTCGTCAGGATCGTCGGCAAGTACTTCCCCGGTAAGAGTTAGTTAACCCATAGGCCATAGCGGTCTGGTCTCGGGTCGGATATGTTCGCGCAAAAGGCGACTGACAGGTCTCTGTCTCTGCGTGATGCAGCGCGCGCGCTGGGCGGGCGGGCGGAGGAGGCGCTGAAGGCGCACCTGCGGAGGCGGGTGCTCCCGGAGGTCGGGGAGCGGGAGTTCGTGGTGGTGTACATGCACTCCCTCGTCGACCGCGGCGACAACTTCCCCGGCCTGGGCGCCATCCGCGCGGCGTACGAGTGCATGCCGGCCGCGGCCAAGGAGAAACTGCGCGCCGTCTACTTCGTGCACCCCGGCATCCAGGCCCGGCTCTTCTTCGCAACCTTCGGCCGGTTCCTCTTCAGCTCCGGGTACGTGCGGTGCGGCTGATCAGCCGTGACCCGATTCGGTGTTTGGCACTGGTGCTGTCCGCTGGAAATTAAATCTTGAACCTGCAGGTTGTACGAGAAGCTGAGGTACATGAGCAGGCTCGAATACCTGTGGGCGCACATAGACAAGGGGGAGCTGGAGGTCCCGGAGTTCGCGCGGCGGCACGATGACGAGCTCGAGCGCCGCCCGCTCATGGACTACGGAATCGAGGCCGCCGACCGCTGCTGCATGTTCGACGCCGCGTCCATGGACACACCGGCGTCCCTGCGCTCGTTACGGTGCATCTCCTAGTTAGTAGCGGGCACCGTGTTATCGGCCCCGCTTAGCAGGCCTCTTGATGTTTGTTTGTAAAATCTGTACATATTAGTACTGGTATTAGTGAAACTGTGGAAGTAACAAGAAATACAATAAAGAGACCGATAATTCGGAATAATTTGCGGCCCGGCCATTGCGTTCTGCACCTAAAGCACGACATCATGTGTCTAGGGTTGAAACCGTTGAACCACTTGCTAAGGTGAAATTATCGAGAGCGTTAAAAGCTTGGAGCCAGCGGGAAAATGGAAAACATATTATGTTTTAACCAAACGGACCAAGAGAAGGTTTCTCCCCAAATGAAAGAACAGGGGCATTCGAAAATCCATAGCTGATCACAAGCTCATCTGCTCCCGGATGAATAGTAAATTCAAAAGAAAATAGCAAAGAGAAATTCAAAACAATATGAAGTTTTTGAAACGTCGTCCTCCAAGGGAATTGTTCTTTGAAAATGAACTGTACAAGAAACAAGCCAGAAATGTAAAAGGTTGGTATTACCATGGTAAGTTGGTCGCATAACATCTAAATAAGACTTATATTTAGAAACGGAGGAAGTAGTATGCAGGGCACATGCTCTATGACTTATACTGCTGCTGATAACGGTCAAACACAGGTAAGAGAATACGGAAGGATGCTGGATAGGATAGCCCATTGCTAATTGTTCTGTATATAGTCATTTGTTGGAACCTTTAGAAAGACTTATATTCGGGAACAGAAGGAGTAGCAACCGGGGTCAGAACACCATTGTTGGGAAGTGGGAACCAGTAGCGGAGTTGAACTACTACAGGAAAATACGACAAAGTGAGCAAATGTACGTACTGCCTCTGTAAACTAATACAGTACCTTTTAGATCACTAAATCAAGCAGGGGGGGTACAACAAATCACGTGGCACAGGCGTACATGGATATTAACACAGTAAGTTAAATCTGTATGTGCAATACCTCAAAATGAGCAAATTAACATGTGTCAAGTAACAGTAAACACACAGCAATTTCCCTAGCAATGGACATGAGTCTTAATCAATCTGGAGCTTGCCAAGACGAATGCAGTGTGATTACAAAAAGAAAATGTTAATACTGTAATGTAACCTGAAAAGAATTAAAGACCAGAACAACATATTTCAGGTCTAAGCCATACAATATATAGAACCTATTGAACTGCATGCTGGATTCAATGAAGTATTTTCCAGGGGGCATAGTTCCCTCTCAAAACTGTCTCAAAGTATTACATAGATCATATCAATCTTAAAATATCTAATCTGGGAAAGCTGATCTCCGCTGTAACAGATATTGTCTTAAGATAACAATGAAGCAGATAACTATGCTTCCGACCATTTTGATGCCGGCACTTCATAGGACAAGAGCAGCAACCCTTTCTCTTCAGTCTTTATTCCAAGCAATGTTTTAACTCTCCAGGTGAACAGGACAATCAGAAATATCCATCGGTCTTGCATGTTCCTTACAAAAAGTTACTCGCTTATATTATTACTTGGCATTTGCACTTCTTCCATATTCTCAACTTCAGCCCCAACCTTTGCCTCAGATCCAGCAGTCTCCATGTAGCGGAAATCTGGATAGTTTCTGCTGTTCAACGCATGCAACCAGAGTGCTACAGCTCCCTCCTTGTGTTCCATTGCAGCAATATGAGGGAAGATGTACTTGATCTTGAACTCTTCAGCCTCCTCAGCATAGGGTTCAATTGAAACTGCCTCATGTGTATCCATCCATTTTGAGTTATATGAGGTAAACATGCATTCATCAAGGTGCAGTCCAACCTCGGGTGCAGTAGGCACATTAAGTCTGATATCCCTGTAAGAAGAATATGACACAAACAATAAATCAGCAAGCAACATAAACTGACTAGATTGTGTTATATGTGTTAGCTGATAAGAAGTTAAGGACTTTACTTGCGGAAGGCAACGTCATAGATTGACTCAGGTGCACAGTTCCTCATCACTGCTACAGCAAGGCCAACCATCTTCCGGATCTGATGAAGCATGAAACTCTGCCCGACAACCTCACATCTGACAAAATCAATCCCATCCAGACTAACAACGCTATTGGCAGTGAAGGAAATGATGTACCTCTTGGCTGCAGGATCCTCAGCCTTAGTTCTTGTGGTGAAGTTGTGGAAATTGCGGGTTCCAACATAATGCTTGAGGATCCTATTGAACTTCTCTTTAACTTCATCAGTGTAAGCAAATGTGTTTTTCAGAAGGGGACTTTCTTCTCCATTCTCCTTCTGAATATTTATAGCTTGCATTCTCTCCTTTTCACTATCTGCAGGCTCAAAATTATTCTCCTTCTCAGCTACAACTGAAGCAACGACATCAACTGAACCTAAGGTTGAATCAGAACAGATGGTCTCACTGGCGCTGGTTGGTACAGCTTCAGAATCGCAAGTACCAAGTGCAGGTTCAATATCAAATTTTCCTGCCCCATTTGATCCCAGTTCAGCATTTTGAGCTTCTGTTCCATTACCAGAGCTCGGTATATCAATCATTACATCACCCCCCAGCCTAGTCTCGCCATCACAAGTCTCAGTAACAGGGCTTGCTGGAACAGATTTTGCATCCCCTAATTCTCCATGAGAGGCCACAGTTTCCTCTCCAGGCGTATCAAGAACCTTCTCCTCCTCGGAGTCGGGCAACTTCCCCTCCCGGCCCATAATATCTGGCACCTTCCTCCCCCTCTCGGAGCACTCCACGCACTTCGCAAGTTGGTTCTCACTCCCCGCGCTTGCCTTGACAGCCTCGCGGTCTGGGTGTGCGCTGGGGTCGAGCGCCAAGACGGGGAGCAGGTACACATACCTCCGGCGGTCGCAGAACTTCTTAGCGCTGAAGGAGTTGGTGACGCGCACGTAGCCAAAGGCCCGGATCTGTGGCGCGAGTTTCGCATTCAGGCGGTCGATGAATCCCGGCGGGTCGACGTAGAAGCGTCCGGAGACAACTTGCGCGGCGGCGCTCACGCCCTTATCGGTGCGCGCTGCGCGTGCCCACTCGTATCGGGCGGGCGCGGCACGGTCGGCTTCCGGGACGGCGCCCGCCTGGTAGAGCGCCTCCTCGAGATCGCCCTCGATGGTGCGCGCGCCCGGATTCTTCTGCATACCCTGATACCCCGCGCCGCAGTAGGCCAGGATGATGGCCACCTTGCGGCGCTTGTAGCGGCGGCGAGGCTGCCCGGGATCGGCCCCGGCGGCAGACAGCGAGGTGGGCTCCGGCTCGGGGTCGGAGGAGGAGGACATCTTGGGGCGCTTTGGATGGGGCGGGGAGGGCGGCGGCGAGGCGGCGGCCATGGGAGATGCGGGGTTTTACTTTTTAGAAAGATTAGGGTTTGGGTGCGGATCGGCAAAGGGGAGGAGGGGGCACGGAATTGAAAGAAACAGAGCTACAAAGAAACGGGAGGTTATTTTTTCTTCGCAAGGGAGAAATCCAAGAAATGTAAATGATATAAGTACAGTAATTATTTACAATCTTTCAATTTACAAAACAACCGTCTGATTCATCTATTCGATTCTTTTCTACTATTATTACTAGCAAAAATGTTCATTTATTAAATAATAAAATAATATACAAAATCAATGATTATGTTGAACACCTCTGACAACACTGAAAACCATCAGTAGTCCTGATAGGGTGATGCGCGAGACTGGAACTACAAAAGGGGATCACACATGAACTGTTTATCCATTTTTGTTGTTTGGACCCTAATCATGAAGGTAAAACCGTTGGAAATATGAGCAATTTACCAAATGATCTTATTAACAGAAATACTAGATAAAGCATGACTAATATAGTAAAGATAAAATAAGTCATGCATTCTGACAGAGAGAAGGTAAATAGCTTCTGCATATATAAACCGTAGCCTATCATATCTAAAGCAGACAGTATAACAAGTAGCATATATGAAATAGAACCTATCATATGTAGGACAAGGACTAGAACAAGGAACTGTGGCAGAATCTTTAACAGGAAAGACAAAAACACGTACGGGACAGCAGTAGCAAAAGCGCTGGACTTGGGGTCGGTGTCCTCGCCTGCCATGTCGTCGAGGAGGTCGTGGACGTCGGGGAAGAAGTCGTCGTTGGGGAAGTAGTCGGCGGCGACCGGATCGTCCGTGATGAAGCAGTCAGTAGTTGCACTGAGCGCTCCCAAAAACCTTATCACCCTTCTCCCGTACATGACTCAAAAGGTGCGGTTTCAGGGGCCTACTGTCCCGACCTGCGGTGCATGCCGCAAGACGGGATGGGGAAGAACGTAGTAGCAACGTAGTGGTCGGAACTTTGTGGCGAGAGGAAGAGGAGCTTCTGTTGTGTCTCTCTGGAGAGGAGCGACCTCTCTTATATAGGCAGCGGCCGAAGAGGCGCGCCGTTCGAATTCAGTGTCCACTACAGAAAACGTTTCAACTCCCACGTGACCTTTCGTATACCCGTCGTGCATGGCAAAAATTTAGATATCGGCTCGGCTCATTCCCGCAACCCGCGGCGCGACAAGGCGCGGCGCGACGTGGCGAGGCGGGCGGCGGAGGAGGAGCGCGCGTGGATATCCCTCTTGTTCTCATGCTCGTACAAGTGGGGAAAGAACCTCCCTTATAAGGAGGTCCAACTCCCACTAAACTAGCAATGTGGGACTAAACTTTAGTAGTATCATTTGCCTTGCATAAATGGGCTAAGTGGGCCTCTAGGATTTATTAGGAATTTCTGAAATAGTTATTGGGCTGCCCAAAATAGACTAAATTCCAGCAATCTCCCACCAGATTCCAGAGGCACACAGAAATTTACCTTTGGTTCCAAAACACTATTTTATATACCGGTACTGCAGTGGAGACTGTTAAGTTGAACTTCCACCTAGAACTCTATGCTACACTAGTAAGCAACTTGAACAGTGGACTGGGCCTTGAACTGCAACTTTTCTGCGAATCTAGCTTCACATAAAGCCTTGACTGATACGTGGCTACCGTGGATCTTCCCCGCAGGTGGAGCTTATGCGTCATACTCCGTGACCTTTCATGAGTTTACTAGAGAGAACCCTGAAGGAAATATGCCCTAGAGGCAATAATAAAGTTATTATTTATTTCCTTATATCATGATAAATGTTTATTATTCATGCTAGAATTGTATTAACCGGAAACATAATACATGTGTGAATACATAGACAAAGTGTCACTAGTATGCCTCTACTTGACTAGCTCGTTAATCAAAGATGGTTATATTTCCTAACCATGAACAAAGAGTTGTTATTTGATTAACGGGATCACATCATTAAGTGAATGATTTGATTGACATGACCCATTCCATTAGCTTAGCACCCGATCGTTTAGTATGTTGCTATTGCTTTCTTCATGACTTATACATGTTCCTATGACTATGAGATTATGCAACTCCCGTTTGCCGGAGGAACACTTTGTGTGCTACCAAACGTCACAACGTAACTGGGTGATTATAAAGGAGCTCTACAGGTGTCTCCAAAGGTACATGTTGGGTTGGCGTATTTCGAGATTAGGATTTGTCACTCCGATTGTCGGAGAGGTATTTCTGGGCCCTCTCGGTAATGCACATCACTTAAGCCTTGCAAGCATTGCAACTAATGAGTTAGTTGCGGGATGATGTATTACAGAACGAGTAAAGAGACTTGCCGATAACGAGATTGAACTAGGTATTGGAATACCGATGATCGAATCTCGGGAAAGTAACATACCGATGACAAAGGGAACAACGTATGTTGTTATGCGGTCTGACCGATAAAGATCTTCGTAGAATATGTAGGAGCCAATATGGGCATCCAGGTCCCGCTATTAGTTATTGACCGGAGACATGTCTCGGTCATGTCTACATTGTTCTCGAACCCGTAGGGTCCGCACGCTTAAGGTTACGATGACAGTTATATTATGAGTTTATGCATTTTGATGTATCGAAGGTTGTTCGGAGTCCCAGATGTGATCACGGACATGACGAGGAGTCTCAAAATGGTCGAGACATAAAGATTGATATATTGGAAGCCTATATTTGGATATCGGAAGTGTTCCGAGTGAAATCGGGATTTTACCGGAGTACCGGGAGGTTACCGGAACCCCCCCGGGAGCTATATGGGCCATAGTGGGCCTTAGTGGAAAAGAGAAGGGGCTGCCCAAAGTGGGCCGCGCGCCCCTCCCCTCCCTTGGTCCGAATAGGACAAGGAGAGGGGGCCGGCCACCCTCTCTCTCTTTCCCCCTCCGCGAATCCTATTCCAACTAGGATTGGGGGGGGGGATCCTACTCCCAGAGGGAGTAGGACTCTCCTGGCGCACCTCTCCTAGGCCGGCCGCACCCCCCTTTAGTCCTTTATATACGGAGGCAGGGGCACCCCAGAGACACAAGTTGATCCACGTGATCATATTCTTAGCCGTGTGCGGCGCCCCCTTCCACCATAGTCCTCGATAATATTGTAGCGGTGCTTAGGCGAAGCCCTGCGACAGTAGTGCATCAAGATCGTCACCACGCCGTCGTGCTGACGGAACTCTTCCCCGACACTTTGCTGGATCGGAGTCCGGGGATCGTCATCGAGCTGAACGTGTGCTAGAACTCGGAGGTGCCGTAGTTTCGGTGCTTGATCGGTCGGGCCGTGAAGACGTACGACTACATCAACCAAATGCTTCCGTTGTCGATCTACCAGGTACATAGATCACACTCTCCCCTCGTTGCTATGCATCACCATGATCTTGCGTGTGCGTAGGAATTTTTTTGAAATTACTACGTTCCCCAACAGTGGCATCCGAGCCTAGGTTTTATATGTTGATGTTATGTGCACGAGTAGAACACAAGTGAGTTGTGGGCGATATAAGTCATACTGCTTACCAGCATGTCATACTTTGGTTCGGCGGTATTGTTGGACGAAGCGGCCCAGACCAACATTACGCGTACGCTTATGCGAGACCGGTTCTCCCGACGTGCTTTGCACAGAGGTGGCTTGTGGGTGACAGTTTCTCCAACTTTAGTTGAACCAAGTGTGGCTACGCCCAGTCCTTGCGAAGGTTAAAAAAGCACCAACTTGACAAACTATCGTTGTGGTTTTGATGCGTAGGTAAGATTAGTTCTTGCTTAAGCCCGTAGCAGCCACGTAAAACTTGCAACAACAAAGTAGAGGACGTCTAACTTGTTTTTGCAGGGCATGTTGTGATGTGATATGGTCAAGACATGATGCTGAATTTTATTGTATGAGATGATCATGTTTTGTAACCGAGTTATCGGCAACTGGCAGGAGCCATATGGTTGTCGCTTTATTGTATGCAATGCAATCACGATGTAATGCTTTACTTTATCACTAAGCGGTAGCGATAGTCGTGGAAGCACAAACTTGGCGAGACGACAACGATGCTACGATGGAGATCAAGGTGTCACGCCGGTGACGATGGTGATCACGACGGTGCTTCGGAGATGGAGATCACAAGCACAAGATGATGATGGCCATATCATATCACTTATATTGATTGCATGTGATGTTTATCTTTTATGCATCTTATCTTGCTTTGATTGACGGTAGCATTATAAGATGATCTCTCACTAATTATCAAGAAGTGTTCTCCCTGAGTATGCACCGTTGTGAAAGTTCTTCGTGCTGAGACATCACGTGATGATTGGGTGTGATAGGCTCTACGTTCAAATACAACAGGTGCAAAACAGTTGCACACGCGGAATACTCAGGTTATACTTGACGAGCCAAGCATATACAGATATGGCCTCGGAACACGGAGACCGAAAGGTCGAGCGTGAATCATATAGTAGATATGATCAACATAGTGATGTTCACCAATGAAACTACTCCATCTCATGTGATGATCGGACATGGTTTAGTTGATTTGGATCACGTAATCACTTAGAGGATTAGAGGGATGTCTATCTAAGTGGGAGTTCTTTAAGTAAATTAACTGAACTTAAATTTATCATGAAACTTAGTACCTGATAAGTATCTTGCTTGTTTATGCTTGATTGTAGATAGATGGCGCGTGCTGTTGTTCCGTTGAATTTTAATGCGTTCCTTGAGAAAGCAAAGTTGAAAGATGATGGTAGCAATTACACGGACTGGGTCCGTAACTTGAGGATTATCCTCATTGCTGCACAGAAGAATTACGTCCTGGAAGCACCGCTGGGTGCTAGGCCTGCTGCTGGAGCAACGCCAGATGTTATGAACGTCTGGCAGAGCAAAGCTGATGACTACTCAATAGTTCAGTGTGCCATGCTTTACGGCTTAGAATCGGGACTTCAACGACGTTTTGAACGTCATGGAGCATATGAGATGTTCCAAGAGTTGAAGTTGATATT